CCATCCTGTAGCTCTATGTCCTGTAGTACAGTAGTAGTAGCACAGATTACTTACATACAGATGCGAAAGAGCGGCGAATTCGTGGTTCAAGATTAATTTGATAGACATAGGCTGGCCGCACCAATGCCACATCAATGTATTTTGAACATATTTATTATATAAATGCGGAAGCTCAATAATATAATATTATTTCTTTAATTGGTTCATAAACAGCAAAAAAATATTTTTTTCTAGCCGCAAAAATATGTAAACACACAGGCTGGAACATGCTCACGCACTCGGCCACGTTAATTGTCCTGACGCGGGCGATCTTTATCTATGCGTGGGGCCGCTGGCGGCCCGGCTTCGTCACAGAATATCGTCGACAGCAAGTATACGTACTTACGCATCTGTATTAGGTGATCTGTGGTAGTAGTGTGTATTATCCTTGCTTCTATACCTCAATGGAGCTCTTCAAATTGTGGCATGTACCATCGTCACCAAAAGTATCTGGGACACAAATAACGCATAATGATCTCCTGAACTAATTCAACTGTCATTCATTTCAGTGCATTTAATTCATAGTTTGACAAATATTTGACAATAAGATTCATGTAATAGGACAAGAGCTAATGTGATGCTGTCCCAGTTACTTTTGGTGACGATGGTACGTGCCAGAGCCAGAGTGTAATTAACCTCAAAAATTTAATTTTACGTGGAGTTTCAGTTTTTAAAGCAAAAACCACACGTTGTTGTCAATGAAGACCGCCTTCCGGTAATTAGGGATTTCCAGCCGTATCGATATGTTATCGTCAATTTTTCTATCGCAGGGAACACTTTTGTGCGTATTTTCAACACTATCACTCCAATCCATTGCTACCATCCCCTAGGGGGGTGAGCTCCACCCTTATCTATGGTTTCACCCTTCACCCGTACCTACAATTTTTCGTATACGACGCGACGTATAGGTACCCCCTAAACCTCGAGTTAAAATTCTTTGCAAAAAGTTTCCCCCTCAAAAATAGAAATTAACAGTTCCAAGCCTGTTTTCTTAACTGACGATAAATATGAAAAATCCTCGGAAAAATCCGTTTTATTTTGTTTTCTTTTCATTGGCTTGAGCTCGAGCATTGACCCACCCGGTATAGATTTTATGTATACGATTGCTTTTGTCGTGAGGAAGTTTCCACAGAACTTCCAGAATAATTTTTTTAGAAACGTTTTTGTAAAATACCCTTCAAAATTTATAAAAAATTACTGAAAAGTTATTGAAAAATCACCAAAAATTACCAAAAATTACCAAAAATTACTAAAAATTACTAAAAATTACTAAAAATTACTAAAAATTACTAAAAATTACTAGAAATTACTGAAAATTACTAAAATTACGAGAAATCACTAAAAATTACTGATATTTACAAAAATTACAAAAAATTACAGTTCTTGTACACCATATTTACTGAGTGGTTACCCCCTCGAAAAAAAATCAGGGATTTTGAAGATTTCAAACGCTTTTTAGGAGTTCAGAATAGGAACTTTAAAGCATTGTATCTCAAAAACTCTTAATATTCTAAAGGCTTAACACTAAAAACTTCTGGAAGACTCATTTTGCAGGATTTTCAACTGAAAAATCTGCTTCTGAAGAAACTAAAAACAACGAAACTTTGAAGATTCTGAGGCTCTTGATTTGAAACTTTTCAAGCCTCTTGGATCCTAAAATTCTAAAGCTCTTGATTTAAATTCTTTGAAGGATCTCAAGGATCATCATTTGAAATTGAAAACTTCAAAGAATCTAAAGACAGAAAATCAAGATTCAAGTCTCACAACCAAACACTAAAACATTGAAGACTGGAATTTTTAAAAAATTGGGTTTGAGGCTCATTTTTCAGGATTCTAGAAACTTCAACAAATCTGAAGCATGAAGATTCTTAAAATAATTCAAATGTCTTAGTAATTCAAACTGAAGACTTTGATGAAGCTGGAAAACAAAATATTTTTGGTCTCATGAATCTTTGAAAACTCATGCTGTTCTAAGACCTAAGACTGAAGCCTCTATAGATTCTGAAGACTTCTGCTGAGTCAAGATCTAAGCCCAAACATTCTTGTAGCAATCACGCACCCTTTTAGAGATATGCCCAATGAATCAATTTTTAAAAATGTTGCTCATGTTTCAATATCCTGGAAACAACCAATCTGAAGACTAAAGATTCTTAGAATTTAAGTAATTCGACTCAAGTGTCTTAATAATGCAAACTGAAGACTTTGATGAAGCTGGAAAACAAAATACTGGATATTTTTTAGCTCTGAAATTTTTGAAAACTCATGCTGTTTCAAGGCCTAAGACTAAAGCCTTTATAGATTCTGAAGACTGCGAAGAAGCTCAAGGATTATCACTTAAATTTAAAAACTCTAGAGACTGAAGACTATCGAGATTCTGAGGACTTATTTTTCTAGAATGTTGATACAACATCTAAGCCGAAAAATTCTTGTATCAATCACACCATTTTAGAGATGTGCCCAATGAATCAATTTTTAAAAATTTGGCACATTTTTCAGGATTCTAGAAACAACAACAAATCTGAAGACTAAAGATTCTCAGAACTCTAAAGATTTCGACTCAAGTATCTTAATAACTAACTGCAAACTGAAGACTTTGAAGAAGCTGGATAATAAAATACTGGATATGTTTGAGCTTTGAAATCGCATGCTGTTCCAACACCTAAGAATGAAGCCTCTATAGATTCTGGAAGACTTTGAAGAAGCTCAAGGATCATCACTTAGATTTAAAAACTCTAGAGACTGAAAACTATGGAGATTCTCAGACTTCGCCTGCTAAAATGTAGACTCTGCTGGTTCAAGATCTGAAACCAAGCATTCTTGTATTACTCATACCCTTTTAGAGATGTGCCCAATAAATTAATTTTCAAAAATGTTGCTCATTTTTAAGGATTCTAGAAACAAAAATTAATGTAAACTGAAGACTTTTATGAAGCTGAAAAACAAAATGCTGGATATTTTTTGGCTCTGAAATCTCTGAAAACTCATGCTGTTCCAAGACCTAAGACTGAAGCCTCTATAGATTCTGAAGACTTCAAAGAAACTCAAGGATTATCACTTAAATTTGAAAACTTTAGAGACTGAAGACTATGAAGATTCGGAGAACTTATTTTGCTAGAAAGTCTACATTCTGCTGAGTCAAGATCAGAGCCCAAACATTCTTGTATCAATCACACCTTTTTAAAGATGTGCCCAATGAATCAGTTTTTCAAAATTTTGCTAATTTTTCAAGATTTTAGAAACAACAATAATTCTGAAGACTAAAGATTCTTAGACTCTCAAAAATTCGACTCAAATGTCCTAATAATGGAAACTGAAGACTTTGATGAAGCTGGAAAACAAAATACTGGATACTTTTAAGCTCTGAAATCTTTGGAAACATGCTATTCCAAGACTTAAGATTGAAGCCTCTATAGATTTTGAAGACTTCAAAGAAACTCAAAGATCATTACTTAAATTTAAGAACTCTAGAGACTAAAGACTATCAAAATTCTGAGGACTTATTTTGCTAGAATGTAGACTCTGCTGATTCAAGATCTGAGCTCAAACATTCTTGTATCAATCACGCCCTTGTAGAGATATGCGGAATGGATCAGTTTTCAAAAATTTTACTCATTTCTCAGGGTTCTAGAAACAACAATATATTTGAAGACTAGAGATTCTTAGACTCTAAAGAATTCGACTCAAATGATTCAATAATGCAAACTGATGACTTCAATGAAGCTGGGAAACAAAATACTGGATATTTTTTAACTCTGAAATCTCTGAAAACTCATACTGTTCCAAGACCTGAAAATGAAGCCTCTATAGATTCTGAAGACTTTGAAGAAGCTCAAGGATAATCACTTAAATTTAAAAACTCTAGAGACTGAAGACTATGGAGATTCTTGGCTGAAACTCTGTAAACGATAGAGATCATTATCCCTATTGCTATGGCACTTGCTGCCTTCTTCTCTCTTGTCGAAATCAATAGAGAGGCGACAGCAATAAAGATAGAGTAAAAATATCTCTATTCGTTACAGAGTCCCAGCTCTAAGTAGGTACTTCTTTTTCTAGGATGTTGACTCTGCTGACACAATTAGATCTGAGCCCAAACATTATTGTATCATTCCTTTTAGAGGTGTGCCCAATGAATCACCCAACAAATTCCAAAATAAAGAAATAGCGAAAAACACAATAAATAACGCAGTCTTTGGACAAGGTCCAAAACTAGGCGAATATTTAAGAGAACAACGATTTTTTTTTCACAGTATAGAGATGAGGGATTTGCAGGTCTATTTGCAGATATCTGTGACGTCTGCAAATAGGGTTCAATGATCTATCGATTGGATTTAAAATAGAATTTGGATAATCATTTCTGCAAGATATTTTTCATAAAGGATCAAAAAGAATCATAGTATATAATTATAATTTCTATATTGCGCATACAACTCAATTTTGGCCCATTTCTCTGCTCTATATGCTCTGTTGGAATCCAATAAACCCAACTAAAAAGCTCGAATCAAAAAATTTCTAGTCTGGATCAAATATAAGCTTCAAGAATTATTTTTTAAAATAACAAAATCCAGGTGACAATAGAAAGCAACCAATGAGCGAAAAATCTAAATTTTGTCGGTTACGTGGGTCGAGTAGAATTTTTTTTTGGAATAATCCCAAAATTCTCTCTCGTTTATTATTAAAGTAAGAATGAAATCGGAATGGCAGAAAATTAGTTGGCGGTCACGATTTGTCTTACGTTGGGAATAATTATTTTGATAATGATTCACAAGTGAAAAGAAAAGTGGAATAATTTCATTATAGATTTTTCTAGTTGAAAATTATTCGAATTTGTGGTAAAACTTCGATACTAGGTTAGCACATTCTATGATACACATATGAAGTTTTAGAAATATTTATTAAAGTAGTTTTTCTACACTGGCAAGTATAATGTTGATTAAAATTGGTTTCTGTATTCTAATTCACAGATACGAGAAGTTGTACGACTTGCGACAAAGTATTAGAAGAACTAGAGCAGATCGACGATGACACGGATTCCTTCGGGGTGGACTTCGTGAAAATAAACGACAAACGACTCGCCAAACAGTATGGCATTACCAAATTCCCGGCGCTCACTTACTTTAGGGACAAAGAACCGATCATCTATGAAGGTAAGCGACAATCTTCATTAGAATATACCTATTTCAGTGGAATTTTTTGAAAATGTTTGAGAAATATCTATAAGTCTCATGAGAGATAAATATCTCATGAGAATTTAGTCTTCTTTAAAGTAAATCACAAATCTATTTTGAGGGTGCCAGTTTCTACTTATTTGCATCTATCTTCCTCTCTTTGTTATTTGCATAAAAAATATCAAAAATTTACTTTCCATTCTATTATTTTCAATTGGGTTATTTTAATCAGGAAAATTCGGTTTCTCTGTAGTTCCATTTTACTTTCCACCTGAATATCTTCCATATCAAAATATTATGATGAAGTATCTTCAAAATTATTTTTTCAAAACTCTCTCATCTTCTCCATCAAGGTCTGCTGAGGTTTCATCAGAATCCTTTTTTCCCATCGTCTCTTTTTCCTTTAAGATTTGTGAAAGTTGTTGTTTCTCTTCACATCTTTTTTTTTTCTCTCAACCTCTCAGATTTTTAGAAGTTCTTTCTTCTGCATTATTATCAAATTTATGTGATTTAAGACCCAAAAGAGAAGTCTCTGAAGATTTTTTCGAAAGATTTTCGAATGTGTAGTCTAATGAATCTGCTGATTTGAGACCCCTGACTGGTCCTTGGGTGATTCTACTGATCCAAGAACCACGAGAGAAGCCTTTGAACATTCTAAAAAATCAGATTTCAAAGATTTTGATTCTCTTTATTTGAAGCTTAGAGACTTTGAAGATCTTGAAGACCGAAAAGTCTCAAGCTCATGAATTCAGAATGAAGACTGTAAAAACACAAAAATAAAGGTTTGAAGATTCTGAAGGCTTTGAAGATTTTTTTAAAAGATGTTGGAATATGTAGTCTAATGAATCTGCTGATTTGAGACCCCTGACTGGTCCTTGGAAGATTTTCCTGATTTAAGACCCAAGAGAGAAGCCTTTGAAAATTCTGAAAAATCAGATCTCAAAGATTTTAAGGCTCTTTATTTAAAGTTAAAAGACTTCGAAGATCATGAAAACCGAAGACTCTCAAGCTGAGTTCGAATGTGTAGTCTTATGAATCTGTTAATTTGAGACCCATGACTGGTCACTGGTCCTTAGAAGATTCTCTTGATTTAAGACCCAAGAGATTGATTGAAGATTCTGAAGAAATCATATTTCAAGGATTTTGAGGCTAGAGCTCATGAATTCAGAATAAAGACTGTAAAAAAACAAAAATAAAGGTTTGAAGATTCTGGAGATTCTAAAGATTTTTTCAAAAGATGTTCGAATGTCTAGTCTTATGAATCTGTTAATTTGAGACCCATGACTGGACTTTGGAAGATTCTCTTCATTTAAGACCCAAGAGAGCAAGAGAGCCTTTGAAGATTCTGAAAAAATCAGATTTCAAAGATTTTGAGGCTCTTCATTTAAAGTTTAAAGACTTCGAAGATATTGAAGACCGAAGACTCTCGAGCTCATAAATTCAGAATGACGACTGTAAAACCACAAAAATAAGGGTTTGAAGATTCTGAAGGCTCTGAAGATTTTTTCAAAAGATGTTCGAATGTGCGGTCTTATGAATCTGTTAATTTGAGACCCATGACTGGTCCTTGGAAGATTCTCCTGAGTTAAGACTCAAGAGAGAAGCCTTTGAAGATTCTGGAAAAATCTGATTTCAAAGATTTTGGGCTCTTTATTTAAAGTTTGAAGACTTCGAAGATCTTAAAGACCAAAAACTCTCGAGCTCATGAATTCAGAATAAAGACTGTAAAAACACAAAAATAAAGGTTTGAAGATTCTGAAGGCTTTGAAGATTTTTTCAAAAGATGTCCGAATGTGTAGTCTTATGAATCTGTTAATTTGAGACCCATGACTGGTCACTGGTCCTTAGAAGATTCTCTTGATTTAAGACCCAAAACAGAAGCTCTTGAAGATTCTGAAAAAATCAAATTTCAAAGATTTTGAGGCTCTTTATTTAAAGTTTAAAGACTTCGAAGATCATGAAAACCGAAGACTCTCGAGCTCATGAATTCAGAATGAAGACTGTAAAAACACAAAAATAAATTTTGAAGATTCTGAAGGCTCTGAAGCATTTTTCAAAAGATTTTCGAATGTGTAGTCTTATGAATCTGTTAATTTAAGACCCATGACTGATCCATGGAAGATTCTCCTAATTTAAGACCCAAGAAGATTTTGAAAAAATCAGATTTCAAAGATTTTGAGGCTCTTTATTTAGGGTTTAAAGACTTCGAAGATCTTGAAGACTAAAGAGTCTCGAGCTCATGAATTCAGAATGAAGACTGTAAAAACACAAAAATAAATTTTGAAGATTCTGAAGGCTCTGAAGCATTTTTCAAAAGATTTTCGAATGTGTAGTCTTATGAATCTGTTAATTTAAGACCCATGACTGATCCATGGAAGATTCTCCTAATTTAAGACCCAAGAAGATTTTGAAAAAATCAGATTTCAAAGATTTTGAGGCTCTTTATTTAGGGTTTAAAGACTTCGAAGATCTTGAAGACTAAAGAGTCTCGAGCTCATGAATTCAGAATGAAGACTGTAAAAACACAAAAATAAATTTTGAAGATTCTGAAGGCTCTGAAGCATTTTTCAAAAGATTTTCGAATGTGTAGTCTTATGAATCTGTTAATTTGAGACCCATGACTGATCCATGGAAGATTCTCCTAATTTAAGACCCAAGAAGATTTTGAAAAAATCAGATTTCAAAGATTTTGAGGCTCTTTATTTAGGGTTTAAAGACTTCGAAGATCTTGAAGACTAAAGAGTCTCGAGCTCATGAATTCAGAATGAAGACTGTAAAAACACAAAAATAAATTTTGAAGATTCTGAAGGCTCTGAAGCTTTTTTCAAAAGATTTTCGAATGTGTAGTCTTATGAATCTGTTAATTTGAGACCCATGACTGGTCCTTGGAAGATTCTCCTGATTTAAGACCCAAAAAGATTTTGAAAAAATCAGATATCAAAGATTTTGAGGCTCTTTATTTAGGGTTTAAAGACTTCGAAGATCTTGAAGACCAAAGAGTCTCGAGCTCATGAATTCAGAATGAAGACTGTAAAAACACAAAAATAAAGGTTTGAAGATTCTGAAGGCTCTGAAGCTTTTTTCAAAAAATGTTCGAATGTGTAGTCTTATGAATCTGTTAATTTGTGACCCATGACTGGTCCTTGGAAAATTCTCTTGACTTAAGATCCAAGAGAGAAGCCTTCGAAGATTCTGAAAAAATCAGATTTCAAAGATTTTAAGGCTTTTTATTTAAAGTTTAAAGACTTCGAAGATCTTGAAGACCGAAGCGTCTCGAGCTCACGAATTCAGACTGAAGACTGTAAAAACACAAGATAAAGGTTTGAAGATTCTGAAGATTTTTACAAAAGATTTTCGAATGTGTAGTCTAATGAATTGGCTGATTTGAGGCCTATGACTGGTGCTTGAGAGATTTTCCTGATTCAAGACCCAAGAGAGAAACTTCAGAAGATTCTAAAAAATCAGATCAAGAAGATTTTGATGCTCTTCATTTAAAGCTTGAAGATTTCGAAGATCTTAAAGACCGAAGAGTCTCAAGCTGGTGAATTCAGAATGAAGACTCTAAAAACACAAAAATAAATATTTAAAAACTATGAATCTGCTGATTTGAGACCCATGACTGATTATTGGAAGAAAGATGCACACATATAAGAAAGCGTTTAGAAAGAAAAAGCCAGATCAAATGGATCAGCCTCTGGCAATAACTTACGGCAATCAAAGATGTTTCTGGGGCCCTCTCACCAAGGAAGATCAAAAGACAAATTTGGAATTCTCACTGGATTCCTCACAGGCCACTGCCGAACGGGAAGAAATTCTATCCATATAACCGTCCAGCCTACTTGCTTTATTAATGCTGGATGAGGTGCTTTGAGTGAGAATCCTATCAACTAAAGCACCCATGCATCTGGTATCTTCCCACCTATCAAGATTTGTTGAAACTGATACAGAATTCCTTTTCCACTTCGCATGTATTTTTTTCCCATCGAAACTTAAAATAGTTGCTTCAGTATCCTATTACTCTTGACTTTTTCTCATTGAGATTTCTCCGGAATATTTTTTTTCCGCTGAGGTTCCTTTTTTTCTCCATCTTGTTTTTTGGCGATGAATGTAAGAGTGAAAGCATCTTTAAAAATGCCTGAAAGTTTGTGGACGAGAATTTCGACATTCCACTGGAAAAAGGCATCGAAGTAACTGACCAACATCAAAGATACGATACAACTTTTAGAAGCAGGAAACGAAGTACCTACATATAGCAAAGATTATTCAAAAGCTATAACTCTTATTCCATAAGTCGTATAAATTTACAAGTGTTAAATAGTTTTGTAAGAAAAACATGAATTAGTCCTTCAAATATGTTGTTTGCCTGGATCAAAATTTACCAAAAACAACTTCTATTTTTAATCCAGCAACTCAATAAAAATGGCAAATGGAAAAAATTACAGAAGAACGCGCTTTAACAAGTGGTGTGTTGTAAAGTTTATTTTTAAATCAGCCGCGAAACGCACGTTATGGGCCGTTTATTTAAAAATAGACCGAAACTCTTGAGCTATATGCTTGACTTTGCCCTACATTTTGATAAAATTTAAGGTGATTTGATGGACGAAGAGAACGTTCTCGATTTCCTAACAAGTCTCGAGGCGATGGACCTACCAGATCGGATAGAGGAAGTCAACGCAAAAATACTGGATAAAATCGTACAGGAAACCGATTTTGTGGCTGTTTTGTTTTGTAAGTATCATTCAATAAAGAATCCTTGTGTAACAATTTTTGGCGTTATTAATGATCTAATATAGAAATTTTGAGCCATTAATATAGTTGCTAAAATATTTGTTGTAACATTACAAATTTTAGGTCCGGACGCTGATAAATGTTCAAAAGCGGGAACTAGTAAGTAACTAAGCAATTTAGTAAATCTATGTATATACCTACCATGCTAATAATATATTATATGTTTTGGTGGAAACTTACTAAATTAGTAATACATATGTATGTAAAAATTGTCTCTTTAATGTTTGTAAAATGTCTTCTTTTCCAGAACTAATTTTTTGAGTAGTAGATTTAAAATAAAACATGTTGAGCAAAACTTAAAATGTATACACGTGCCGTGCCAAAAAATTTCAATTCATTTTCATTTATATAAACCGGGATAGTATAAGTATATATTTACAGCACATTTGAAATAGGCATAACATTGACACGGTTATTTGGGTAGTTTTTAGTTGTCACCGTTTGTTAATAGCACTTCTTTTTGTGAGCAATTTTTTTGGGTGCATTACACTAACATTGGGCCATGTTCTAGACAAACCCGAATGCAAAAAGTGTTCCAAAGTACTCCAGGAATTGGAAAATATCGACGACGAAGCCGATCAATTAGGAATCGGTTTTGTTAAGATAAACGACGAAGATTTGGCTGAGGAATACAACCTGGAACCTTTGCCTGCCTTGGTTTACTACAGACATCAGATTCCTATTATTTATAGCGGTAATTATTAGGGCAAAGTATTTTTCAATTATATTATTAAAAAAATTAATTTTCAGGTGATTTAACTAAAGAAGAAGACGTTTTGGAATGGTTGGTTCAACACAAGAGCACCGGCGATGAAGATGACATTATCGAAGATGTTACATTGAAAACGCTTAGCACTTTGATTAGTAGCGTTGATCATTTGGCTGTTCTATTTTGTAAGAATTTGCCCAATCAATTATTGATCGGATTTTTTAAATGTATATTTCCAGATGATCACGGAGATGATGAATCGATGCAAGCGCTCGAAGAATTGGAGCATATTGACGACGACTGCGACAAATACGGAATTCAGTTTGTTAAAATTGACGATCCCGCTGCTTCTGACGAATATGGTATGTAATCATTTTATATTATGATGGAATTTTTATTTAAAACTTTATTCAAATGATTTGTGTCTTGTTTCAAATATTAGCAGGTAATTGTTGTTGTTAGAATCTCAGCTTCAGAGATTCCAGAATCTTCGATAATAAGAACATAATCCTAGAAAATTCCTGAGTTCAGGTTTTGGCCAATCTCTGACAGCATCTATCTTTCCTTCCATAACTTGTATGCCATCTTCAGATACCGCGTGACCTAAGAATACCACTTTCTTTTGAAATAGAAAACACTTATTTGGATTGAGTTTTAAGTTGGCATTTCGGAAGTGGTCAAAAACTTCTTTCAGGTTAAGATGTTCTTGGAACGAAAATACCAGGCAAGTTCTCCATGTAAGGCCTCGCAAAACAAGTTGCATCAGTCGCTCAAACGTAGCTGGAGCATTACACAATCCGAAAGGCATCACGTTAAACTGGTATAACCCGCTTCCGGTACTGGAGGCAGTTTTCTCTTTGTCATCTTTGTGTATTGCCACTTGCCAGTATCCACTCTTAAGAGAGAAAGTGGGAGACCATTTGGAGCCCGATAGAATTGTTAATATATCGTCTATCCTCGGGAGAGGGAAGCTGTCCTTCTTGGTGACGTCATTAAGCTTACGTTAGCACACAAAATCTAAGATTTACATCTTTCTTTGTAACCAATACTACTGGCGCAGACCATGAACTATTCGACTCTTCAATGATTCCTTCTTCCGTCTCTTTTACCATTTCTTGACTTTTCAGCACAGTTTTACCGACTTCTTGAGTCAGAACTATATTATCTTCAGCTGCCATTTGTAATTGATCTTTTTCTATGATTGATATGTCTTGTCTAGCTTCTTTAATTTGAGCATTATCACTTCTGAAATTAAACTAAAGTTCCAGTTCCGTTATTAACTTGTTGTCCATCTATATGAGCCAAAGGATCAGCTTCAGCTTGCGGAAGAACAATCATAGTATCTGAAGTTCCACTTTGTCCACACTCCCAATTACTTTTTCAATTTTATCAATTTCCATTGTGGCTTCTTCTGATGATTGTACATCTTCCATGGGTTTTCCTGGCCCATTGCCACTTGGACGAGGTTCTTCAGAAACATTTGCCATACTGTGAATATTCGTTATCATAAATCCAAATTTTTCTTTTTGAGGAGATTCTCAAGAGTTGAAAGTAATAGTTGGTTCGTTCATTACTTTGTGGAATTGGTTTATGTCTACAGGTTTGACCTTTTTTGTTTGATATTTATCAGTCCTGATGTGTTAGGACTATTTATTTCTGCTATATTAACCAATGGACTGTCGTAATTGCCCATAATTTATTCCTCTTCTTCTCGATCTTGAGGTATCTGTATTATGCTTAAGTTTTCAATTAAAATACTTCGTATCAAAAATAAACATTTATTCCAATAGACTACGAGACAAAACTTGACATTCATTTTTTGATAGACTATGAGATGCAAATGCAATTGAGTGAGCCAGTTGCATAATACACGACCCTATTCCGTCTTTCGAAGCATCAGTTTCTATTTCTATTGGATAGGCAGGATTGAGAAAAGCTAGAAATGGGGCATTGGTTATCAAATCTTTTAATTGATCGAAGGAATTTTCATGCTCACTGTCCCAATGCCAGTCTGCGTCACTATGTGTCAAATTTCTTGAAGGTGCAGTAATTTTGGACATGTTTGCCCATACCTAAAAATCCTAATAAATCTTCTTTATTGATTGGAGTAGGCATATCTATGATTGCTTTGACATAATTATTATCACTAGGCTCAATTCCCCTTTTTCAAAAAAAATTGGACCCATAAATCTCACTTGTTTGGATTTAAATTGAATTTTCTCTTTGTTAAATTTTATGTTCAACCTTTCAGCTCTTTCTAGCACAATTTATAAATTTTGGTCATGCTCTGATTCTGTTGAGCCTGTTATGATTATGTCATCAAAATATATTCCCAATCCTGCAATGTCGCCAAAAAATTCAGAGCTTGATTTTTGGAACACCTCTGGGGATGAACAAATGCCAAATGGTAAACGACAAAGTTTGTATAACCCAAAAGGAGTTGCAAATGTACACAGATCCGATGACTCATCATCAATACCTACTTGAAAATAACCATCCTTTATATTGACTAGTATTCTTTATTGCAAAGCCTACTTGCAATTTCATCCGATGTGGGGATTAAAAATGGTTCACGTTTGATAGTTTGGTTTAGAAATTTAGGATCAAGACACAATCTTAAGTCACCATTATTTTTCATTCATTTTTGATTCAAATGATGTGCTTGATGCACTCCTATTTTGAGACTCCTGTTTGCTACCTAGGGATCTATAATTATTGTTATTCAAATTGCTGCTGCTACCTATAGCATTTATATTACTTTCTTCTTTTAATGCTTGGACTTGAAGTTTGTTTGCTTCTATACTTCTGCAGAAAATAATTGTTTTTTCCAAATTTAAATTTGATTCACGAAGTAACCTTTCCTGGGTTCCTCTGTCCAAAATTCCCATAACTATTCTGTCTCTAACCATTTCGTCCTGTTCTGTATACTCTGTGGTTTTGACACCCTTTCTAAGCTCTGTTAAAAAGCAGTCAAAATTTTGACCTTCTTTTTGCAGGATCGAATTAAATTTGAATTTTCTTCCTGAACTGTCAAAGTGAATAAATTATAAAGCTCAAGTCCATCTTTGCCTATGATTGTGAGAAAAATTGCTACTTGCTGTTCTGGTTCCTTAGATTTCAAATTAGTTGCCACTGCATAAAGTTCGAATCTTTGTCTGAACCTTTTCCATTGCTCTGACAAATTTCCACCAGTTACAATCAACTGTTCTGAAGGTTTGAATGTCGCTTCCATCAAAAATTTATTATAGACTCAACTTGCCTCTGAAAACTGCTCATCCAGTGCTAACCTGACTTCGTATCCGAAATATACATATATTCCAATCAATAGACTACGAGTAGGTATAGTATGGGGTTTCTGCAACCTCCGTCCTCCGGAGGAGCTTCCAGCACGCCTGCACGCGCCATCTATCGGTACCTGCTGCACGTGTCCGATGCGCCATCTATAGGTTCAGTTGCCTATAATAGCCCCGGGGGCTTTTGTAATTATCGGTACCTGCCGTATGATGCGCCATCTAGGTTCGGATACCTCTAATACCCCTAGGAATCGGGGGCTTTTGTAATCGGTAATCGGTACCTGCTGTAGGTGTCCGAAACGGGGCCTTTTGTAATTATCGGTACCTGCTGTAGGTGTCCGAGGCGTTTTGGAGATGGTTTCTCGCTGCGGTCAAATTCCGGGAAAACCCCCAAAAATTTGAGGTTGGCCCGGGTCAAACCCCCGAAATTTCAGATCAAAGGCGTTGCCGATCTAGAGATTTTCCCACGATATCGAAAAAGTTCCCAGGCTCAGTGCCCCCGTTAGCTAGACCCTGTTTTTAGGCATGCCTTATTTGATGCAATTGGCGATGAACTTCAATGAAACAATAATTTATTTTTATTTTATTTTTTTTAATGTAAACAAAGAAAATAAAACACAGTAATTCTATGGTGACTCGAACATTTTTTCATGACAGAGTAGATTATTTTCGTTTGGGTTTTTTCTACAGTATGTCGATAGTACTGCACTTTTAAATATTTGGGGAAAACTACCACTTGAACACAGGCGTGCTTTTGAGTTGCAAGTGAGACTGCCCTGTTTCATTCATTACAATAGACCTGATTGGAGAACGCACGTAGATGGACCTCCCTCCTCACAAAACCAATGTTATTTCTGTATAAGAGCTCTGGCCAAATAGTGGATGTTTCATTCATGTAACAGCAATGGTTTGGCTCAGTTTCAATTTCATCGCCCTCGCAGCAGTGGTTCAAAATGTTCTCTACATACATCCACCATCAGATGTCCGAAATATCAATGCTCAGCTGAAAACTGATAGCTATTCCAACGATTTATGGATTCCGCTTTACTACCGCCTCATAGACAACGATCGTACACGAACTTTCCAAACAGTACTTCCAGAGTCGCGGAATAGATTCTACCAGTATAAATTGCAAGTGGAATTCCTGGACAACAGCATTTTAGAAAGCAGGGAATGGACAACTATCGGAATTGGCCCGCAGCAAGAAACCATCTCTAAAATCCTCTGTAGAAACGAAACTATAAACTCCACTTCAACCGATTCGAGACCTGATGCATCTATTTACTTAATCTATACCTGTTTAATAACCATAGCTGTAGTTATTGGTATTTTATTGTCTAGAATGTTCTACCTAATTATAGGAAAAAGCAAATGTGATTATTTTAAGGTTTAATGAATAAAATTTCACCGAAAAATTGTTGTTTCATTGAACTTCATGGCCAATTGCATCAAATAACACACAAACGGGGGCACCTGAGCCTGGGAACTTTTTCGATACCGTGGGAAAATCTCTAGATCGGCAACGTCTTTTATCTGAAATTTCGGGGGTTTGACCCGGGCCAACCTCAAATTTTTGGGGGTTTTCCCGAAATTTGACCGCAGCGAGAAACCATCTCCAAAACGCGTCGGACACCTACAGCAGGTACCGATAATTACAAAAGCCCCCGATTCCTAGGGGTATTAGAGGTATCCGAACCTAGATGGCGCATCATACGGCAGGTACCGATAATTACAAAAGCCCCCGGGGCTATTATAAGGCAACTGAACCTATAGATGGCGCATCGGACACGTGCAGCAGGTACCGATAGATTGCGCGTGCAAGCGTGCTGGAAGCTCCTCCGGAGGACGGAGGTTGCAGAAACCCCATATTATACCTACTACTACGAGACAAAACTTGACAAGATGACAAGACCAATCTGAAGCTATTGCCACGTATTGACGTCATAAGCCAAACATTTATAATACAGTATCCAGCTACGACTATTTTCCCCAACATCCACAGGTTCAACTTTAATTTCGCCTACTTCTTCAATAAAAGGATCATCGTGATCAGTCTGAGGTTCTCGAACAATGGTAGCATCATCGGAGTCTTTTGATGAATCATCATATTTTGTATGAAAAAGTTTGTGGTCTTTAACGTTTGGGTTCCTTTTCTTGATTGAAAAGGTATCGGTGATTAGTCTTCTACATCTTCTTTATATCTCCTCTTCCTAGCTTTTCTTCCCATTCCTTTTCTAACTGGCACATTACCTCTTTCTTTCAACCTTCCAGGAACAACATTTCTATCCATGACAGGGGCCTCGTCTTTAGCTTCAAAGACCGGCTGCAGAAGATCCAATGGGTCATTATCTTTTTTCAAATGTGGTTTTGCTTGTTCCAAGACTTTCTCTTTCGTAACATCAATCTCAATTTGATATTTTTCGCTTCTCTCAAGAGAAGTATGTGTCGTTCTAAGAGTTGAAGATAATTCCTCGAGGGGGCAACACTGTCACCAGAAGAAGTGAGCCAACTGACACCCAAGAAAATAGCTTCCTTCGGCAGAAGTCTACGCTTCCTGGAGACAAATTAAGATGTAGAGTCACGCACAAAATATCTGCAAAGGTAGCAGTGCTGAGCGGCTGAAAAGTCGAAACGACTCCCCCGAAATCTACAATGTACAATCTACAAGAGTTGAAGATTTTATCACCCTTTCGCCGGTATAAGAAGAAATATTGGCTTGTTGATTTTGAGGTGCAATTTGTTCAAGAGTTTGCTACAACATTATGCTTTGAGAATCGAGCTGAATAGTGATGTCTTGCTCTCTCTCCTTTTTCAAGTAAATTTGAGTTGAAGTAAGTGGAGGTTTTGGTGGTGGAGGTTTTTCTTCTTATTCCAGTTTTTGTTTTTGTCGTTTAGCCTCTTCTTGTTGTTGAAGCTTCTTCTTCTTGTTTTTCTTGTTATTGCCTGGCCTCTTAGTCTTGTTTTTCTTGTTGTCGTTTAGCTTCTTCTTGTTTTTCTTCTTGTCGTCTGGCCTGTTTGTCTTGTTTTTCTTGTTTTCGTTTGGTCTCTTGAAGTTCCAACATTTTGCGCAGAAGTTCTTCAACCTTTTGTTCTTCCATTTTTGCTTGTTGTCTCGTACTAGGCATATACAGAATGTTCTAGAATTTCCCCAAAACTCTTTTCAAATATTGAAGTTCTAAACACGACGGTGAAGTCACAAATTGGATAACTAGCTTTATTCTCGAACACAATGTTCTAGAATTTCCTTGAAATGTCTTTCCTGAATGTCGATTGATATAGCCAAGAGGTTGGTGAAGTCACAAACTCGATATCTCTCTTGATTTTCAAGTAGAATTTTCTAGAACTTACTTGAAAATTCACTAGTCAAAATCGGGTATACATTCACTTCCGGAGTAATTTACACAATCGGTTATCGGATAGGTCTCTTTTGGTGATTGTCACTGCTTACACTGACTAACTGTCCCAGTGTTCACTTAGTTTCCAAACTACTTACTAGTGTCCGCACTATTTTGCAATCGGATTTTACTGTGCATTCCTCGAATTATATCTCACTTCTGACACCAGTGTCATGGCTCTGGGGTGCGTGTCAGAAATCTTGGATCCGTTTATGTCAAAAATCAAAGTCCAATTAACAGAACAATAATTTTATTCCACGTTACTACACACTCTGACAATAATTACTCCACTAATTAACCCAATGAACTTAACTCTTACAAAATTCACTATCTAAATCCTTTCACAGTTAATCGTAAAACTAAAAGCTACTAACTAATACCAGCCTTTATATATCCGTATTCCATTCTTGTAAAATCCAGAATAAACAATTCCTGAATAGCACTGTAAAATTTAAAATCAGGGTCCTTATTCTTGAAACAGGGGAGCAGCGTTCCCAGGAGAACGAGTGTTTTGTCTTTCTCAATGATATAGAAATGATAATATAGGTAACAAGGACGGAACAATCGTTCTCCTGAGAACGCTGCTCCCCTGTTTCAAGAATAAGGACCCTGATGTCCAATTCTGTACACCCTGGCGATTCCGTCAGATTTTCGCCACAATATTTTGGATGTTTTGACGTTTTTAGTACTTATCTTTAGAGTTTTCAGTGTCAAAATCGATAGATTCACATTGGAAAATCTTGAAAAATTAATCTTTGAAGTTCTCAGAGCATTTGAAAGGCCTTAGTCTTAAGAATCTTCACAGTATTTAGTTGAGAGGCTTGAGACTCTTCGGTCTGTAAGATTTTCGGAGTCTTTGAGCTTTAAATAAAGAGCCCCAAAATCTTTGAAATCTGATTATTTCAGATGCTTCTCTCTTGAGTCCTAAATCAAGATAATCTTCCAAGGACCAGTCGTGGGTCTCAAATCAGTAGATTCATTACACTACACATTTGAGAATCTTTTGAAAAAATCTTCAGAAACTTTGAAATTTTATTTTTGTGCTTTTAGAGTCTTCAGTCTGAATTCATGAGCTTGAGACTTTGAAGTCTTTGAGCTTTCAAGGTAGACTTTGCCTTTAAATAACAATCTTTCATCAAAATCAAATAGATCTGTAGGGTCGTGGTGGCTTAGTTGGTTAGAGCATAGCACTGGCAATGCTGAGGATGCGGGTTAAAATCCCGCTCAGGACCAAAATTTTTAATCCTCCAATTTTCCTTAACTTTCTCTTCATTTTCTATTTACCCGCTTTTCGGTTGTTATAACTGACAAAACTTCATTCCTTTCAACATTGCTTATGCGGGCATCGCATACACTAAGTTTCAACACACGTGGATGAAACTTACATAGTATTAAGGAGCTTATTCGAGTTAGGACTGATGCCATAAATGTGAAGGTCTATTGGAGGATTGAGAAGTTTGACGTAACTTCCTCTATCAACACCAAACAAAAATCAAAAAGATCTGTAGAGTCGTGTGTAGCACCAGCAATGCTGAGGATGCGGGTTCGAATCCCGCTCATGACCAAAATTTTTAACTCGAATTTTCCTTAACTTTCTCTCAATTTTCAACAATTTTTATATACATTAATCAGATTTATAATAATTGTCCAAATGGAAACTTATTTCAGGTTTGGACTCTCTACCCTCTGTAGTATATTTCGAAAAAGGCATCCCCAATGTTTACGACGGTGACTTGGAAGAGGAACAAGACTTCCTTCAATGGTTAGTCGAACAATTGGAAAAGGACGAAATCGAAGATGTAACAGACGAAATGCTCGATAAGCTTATTGCCGAAGGCAAAACTTTGGCTGTCTTGTTTTGTAAGTTTCAATCGACATTAAATTTCATTGTAGTTAATAATATTTTTTGATAGATGACAACGATGATAAGAAATCGCAAAAAGTCCTCAACGAACTCGAAAATATTGACGACGAATGCGACAAACTCGGTATTGTTTTTGTTAAAATTGACAACGATGATGAGGCTAAAGAATATGGTAAGTAATTTTGAACATCTTAGCCAATAAAAAGACAAACAAAATAATTCCGAGGCTTAAAAATTTCATTCTAGGTCAATCACGTCTTCAAAAACAACTAGATTTTGGTAATTTTTTTAATGAAGAGTTTCACTTTTGTCCCCTTACTAATTTCAACTTGGCTGGACATGTGTATTATTGTTTTTTTTAGTCCATTATTACTTTATTCAACTCCTGGACGTTTTTTTGACCACAATTAACAATATTCCATGTGCAACTATAAGTTGTAACACAATACACCAACATTTGATTGAATTTTCTAGGAATCGAAAAAATACCATCGTTGGTGTACTTTGAAGGCGGCATTCCAACTCTTTACGAAGGAAACTTAGAAGACGAAGAAAAAGTGCTCAAATGGTTCGAACATCAAATCAAAAGCGACGAAATCGAAGACGTCACCGACGAAATGTTGGATATTATTTTGGCCAAAAGGCAATATGTAGCTGTGTTGTTTTGTAAGTTGAATATCTATTTTGACCATTTTTAAATTGTATTTATTTCATAGATGATAGAGACCAAAAGAAATCCCAAAAAGTCCTGGCAGAACTCGAAAATATCGACGACGAATGTGACCAAAATAACATCGTGTTTGTGAAAATTGACAATGATGAAGAAGCTAAAGAATATGGTATCGATACTATTCCAAGTTTGGTGTTATTTGAAAAGAAAATTCCACATTTATATGAAGGTAATTGCAGCCCTACAAAAATTTTCTATTACTATTAAAATTTCTCTTTAACTTATTAGGTGATCTAATGAAAGAAGATGAATTACTTGGCTGGCTAATCCACCAAAAAAAACACAGCGAAATTCCAGACATCACTGATGAAATGATGGACCTTTTAATTGACTCTCAAAAGTATTTAGCAGTACTATTCTGTAAGCAACCTTGTAGAATTTCAGCAATAACTTTACTAACAATATTATTTAGATGACAAAGACGACAAACAAGATATAAGAGTCCTCAATGAACTAGAAAACATCGACGACGATTTAGAAAAAGAAGGCATAGTCATTGTTCGAATCGACAACGATGCTGAAGCCAAAGAATTTGGTATCGACCATCTACCAACTCTGATATACTTCGAAGAAAAAATCCCTTCGATTTACGAAGGCGATTTAATGAACGAAGACGAAGTCCTTAAATGGCTTATAGAACAAAAAAATACTGCCACCATTGAAGAAGTTACGGACGAAATCTTAGAAGACCTGATCAATGAACACGAGTACGTGGTTGTCTACTTTAGCGGCAATTGCGACGAAGGCGACAAATGCGATAAAATCCTGGACGAATTGGAAAATATTGATGATGAATTGGATGAAAATGGTATCATTTTTGTTACAACAGAAGACCTAGTACTTGCCAAGAAATACAATATCAAGAGTTTCCCTAAACTTGTTTTCTTTAGAAATAAAGAACCACTTGTTTATCAAGTAAGAAATTTTTATTAAATAAAGTAAATGTATTAATTATTATTGTTATTCTAGGGCGACATAGAAGATGAAGATGAAGTCCTAGCCTGGCTGACCGATGAAGATACTTTGGAAATTCCAGACAGAATTGAAGAAGTCAATACGAAAATGTTGGACAAAATCTTGGCTGAAAACGAATATGTTGTTGTGTATTTCTGTAAGTAGTTTTCTAGTTTTTCTAGATCACGAACTTATTTTTTTTTATTTCAGACAAAGAAGGTGACAAAAGATCCCAGAAAATCCTGCAGGAATTGGAAAACATCGACGACGAATGTGAAGACAAAGATATTGATTTTGTCAAAATATCAGATGAAGGAATTCAAAAGGAATATGATTTGCCATCGTTGCCTTCAGTAGTCTTTTACAGGTTCGTATTTGAAGCCAAATTGATTGAAATTGACTGATTGATTTTTTAGAAATCGATTCAGAGAAATCTATACTGGAGACCTCATGCACGAAGAAGCTCTGCTTGATTGGCTTCTAAATTTGAAAGAATCTGCTCCTGATGTTATTGAAAGTGTGGATAGGAAAACTTTGCAGGTAATTGTTGAATTTTTCCAAAATAATTTGTAATTTATGATTGATTTTGTCTATAGGTGCTCATAAATGATGTAGAACACCTTGCAGTACTATTCTACAGTGACGATTGTAATGAATGTGATGAAATTCTCGAAGAATTGGAAACTATTGATGACGACACTGACAAACATGGTAAGAATGGTTGGATGATGGGTTACTATAATGCCGTTTTTTTCTTTTCCTGGGTGTTTTTGGATGGTCAAATTGCTGTTCTCTACTGTTTAGTTTTCCAGAATGTTTTTTAGTTTTATTTATTGATCCTAATCAATATGCGATGTTTGTACTGAGTCAATTTAGTTTTATAACAAGAAATCGAGGTGATGCGGTCAAGGGTCAGTTTCAGCCGGATGTTTTATATCATCTGTCAATTTCTTAGACTTATCCTAATTCTATAGTTTGATTTGTAACACCGATTGCCCAGGCTCCAAAACTATACAGTTGTTCACCTATATGAACTAAAGCTATGATCTTTTTCCGGTTGCTAACGATATAGTGGTTTAATGTTTCTTATTTCAATTAGTCTTAAGTTTGGATCTCAGAATTATTAATACTTTTGTCATCAGTAATGTGGTCGCTCTAATCTTTATGTTAATTTCTTCATTTTCTGCATTTTAGCTCTGGAAGAGTCGAACAAGCTTTTTGACTAGCTTTTACCCAAGTTTACTTCTTCAATGGTCAAAAATCAAAGTTTCAGTTTTCTCTAGTACAGTATTTGGCATTAGGAGCTTTGAGAATCGAAATTTTATGCCTGACTAGTTTGAATTTCAGCTCTGTTTCAATTGGATTTTAGCTCTGATTTTATTTTATTTTTTTTGTGTTTTTAAGGTTGAATGGAAAACGAAAGATAACGATTTCCCCTGTTCCACCTCCAGTATTCCCAGTGCTTTTTAGCCACCTTGTTGTTGTCTCCCTCCGCTTCGCGACGGGAGGCAGACCACATCTCGCTCTAAAATCTAATACTTTTTTCCCTTGTATAATTAATAACTATTATTTATTGATGGGATGTTTCATTTTTTGGTGTTAAAGTTGCTCAATATATTGGAATATAGAATATCACCCATAACTCTTTGGAATGTAGCCGGCGCGTTTTTCAATCCAAAGGGCATGCGCAAGAACTTATAATGCCCGTTTTCTGTGCTGAATGCGGTTTTTTCGATGTCGTTGTCTAGATCTAGTGAAAGCCGCTAGCTAAATTTGAGGCAGTGGAATACTTCCAGCTTCTTCAAGACATCCGTTATGTTGGGTAATGGGTATCTGTCAAACTGTTTATCAAAGTGGTTATAGCAAAAACAACAAAAACATAAAACACACAAGTTTGATATAAAAATAAATAGTTAGGAATGTTAGGATCAGGAACTCAATATTTTTGTACCTACTTACTACATACAATGCCAAATTCACAACGGGGGTTCAAGCCCCATTGCCCCCATGGTTCCGGCGCCTGTGTGTCTAAACATTTCTCTCTGAGATCTCTTACATTAGTTAGACATACTTTTTCAATGGTTTTTATGTATTATGAGGTTCAAAGGTTAGGTTTAAGTATTTTCGTTTAGTTTAGTAATATTCTTGTCGCCAGTTTAGTACTTTCTCGTCGCGTGGCCTGAGGCCCTGCGGGGCCCCTAAGTCACGGAGCCCCCCTGCAACTGCAGGCCCTGCAGGCCCTTAGTTACGCCACTGTTCACACCAAAGTAGCGGCGCATGTGATGTGCGACTTGGTGCTAGAAAGCAGAAAGCACGCAAACTATCAAAATATACGACACGCCGTTCCGATGTGAAACCTGCCATAATATACAACGTGTCCAAGATAGGAGGGCCAGTAAGGGGATCTGATGATATAGTGACCTAAAGACGAAACGTCGGATTACAAATTTGATGTCATATTGAAGAGGTGAAAAGTGGCAATGACGAAGTGACATTTATTTTGAAATATCTCTTCAAATAAGGTCAGGAAAAAATAAAATCGTTTTGGGCGAATGTCGGGTTTTTCTGAATATCTCCGGTATCACTCGGAATATTTTAAATATCAGTGCGGTATTTCAATGAGCACAAAATTGCGCAACTTTTTCCTAATTTGAACAACGTCGTATCTTCCAATGTTTACGAGATCCCCATACTGGCCCTCCTTATCTTGGACATGTGTCATGTTGTATATAGGTTTTAAAATGAGTTGCTTTCTGGCAGCAAGTCGCACGGTGCATGCTACTTTGGTGTGAATACCTACTTATAGAGTCATTTCCTACATAGCACGATCACTGAAAAAAACCGAAATCAGCTGTCACAGTATTAAGACCAATAAATCTTTCTTCAATCTGTGTTATATGTTCTGTTCTCACAAAAGTCTCTGACAGTTTGCAAACTGTCAGTAAGCATCGCCCATACATGTTTTCAATACCGTCGGTACAACATAAATCGCTAGCTAAATAATTGTTTCTGACAGGTTGCAAACTGTCAGAGACTACTATGAAAACAGACCTATAATTGCCTGAATTACTTGCAAGAGTTCAATTTCCAAATGTGTTTGGGATGGACTACGTCATTTTCTTCCCCGCATGCATTTTTGGTTTCTATTTTGTTCTGGATTGTTTTAGTACTATCAATAAATCAATATCTATTTCGCTGTATCAAGTATAGAAACAGGAAAGCGCTCTTTAAACTTTTGGAGTGTTGCGGAAAAGGCGTTAAGCATAAAATTAACGATTAGTGGCAGATTGCTTCTGAAGCTTGCGCCCGTGGCAAATGCTACCTTCGCCACGCCCTAGTTACGGCACTGCGGATTCTATTGTGCTGAATCTTCCTGTTTTCTGCACCCATTCCAAAACCCTGGTTCCCTGCAGTAGGCAAAGTAGGTCTGTTGGATGTTTGGGTTAGTTTGGGTTAGTTGGATGTTTGCCGTATGTGTCTGGATCCAGGGTTGGACGAACTTCTGGAAGTGGGCCGGGAAATTTCAGTCTAGCGGCCCATTGATCGATTCATGTGGCACATTATCACCCCTAGATGTGATCTAATAATATTCAACTTTATTATTACCAACGTATCTGAATTTTCCATTGTAAGTCGATTCCTTCATCGACTCCTTAGCTATTTAAGTGCTGAAAACTGCAAACCATTTTTCGAACCCTGCTTTGTGTGCACGCTAAAGTGAGGACGTGCTGGTAGGCCTTAAAGATGACTCTTAAACAAGGATGTGAAATTGGTATTTACTTATAGCAAACCAAACCACAAATCACCTAAATACAGATGCGGAAGTAAGTATCCTTAACGTCGACGATTCAAAGCTGCGAAAGCAGGACAGTCGGCTGCCTTACCGCATGTCACAAATCGTCTGTATAGCCGATCATTTATAGTGCATGTTCCAGCCTGTTGTGTTTACATAATATAACCTTGAACTACGAATTCACCGCTTTTTCGGATCTGTATGCTAGTGATCTGTGACCAAACATTGTTTGCAGCGTAAATGTGAAGAACATTTAGAAAGTTCTGATTCATTCCCTGTACCATCTTCATCTTCATCGTTAAATTCAGGAAGGTCATACCGTCCTTTTCAAGTTGAACTAAATCCAAGCGGCGGTAATGACATTAAATAACCTGACCTGTAAACAAACACCAGCTGGTAATTCAGCCGACAGCCTTCCTATTGATTGGAACGCCCTACCAGGACCAGTGCGCATTCACGGAGGACATTTGATAGGTTGTAATGAAAATGACCAGCTAAGTCATTACTGCCGCTTGGATTTGGATCAACTATAGGTAGGTACCTGATTTTATTCAAAGCAGCGTCTGGCATTAATTCGGAAAAAATTATTTGGATCCAAACATAAAAAATCAGCACAAATATCTCCATGCCGCAAATAAGATGTCTCTTTTTTTGTTATGATGCAATCCATGGCCACATCGTGTGATATTCCACCTCAAATTTAAAACAGCAGTAGCTGGAGGAGTATCATCTCTGCTGCCTTCCTTGGCATCTTCTTTTTTTTTCCACGAGGACGAATTGCTGGTAATAAGGTCTTGAATTATAACGTCATTTTCATTTGCTTCCAGTCCTGTATCAGCCCAACTGGAACACATTTTAGCACTGTTTATTACTTCCATGTCGTGTTGTTTCTTTTTCAGTGCATCATAAGTTGAATTGACCATTCTTTGTGCTTTCGGTCAATTCTCACAGAAATCACAAAGCAGTTAGACTCAGAGCCAATTTCATTCGTTGAAAATAGTCAGAAAACTGTTTGTTGGCGCTTTGCACCAATCAAAAATGCTCTGACTGGTTTGTGATTTCTGTAAGAACAGACCTTATTGAAGTCGCTGTTTGAAAGTATCTTGTTAAAGGTTCTGTGGTTTCAAAGATCGGCCCACTCTCCGATCGGCCCACCGGGAATTTCCCGGTATCCCGGTGGGTTCATCCAACCCTGTCTGGATCTAGTTCATCTTCTCCAAAAATATTTTGTCTTCTGCGAGTTAGGGCCATATTCTCTGTAGTTCATATAAAGTCTGGCTTAGTGGAAACGCTTGGCTTTTTGTGTGACAAAGCCGAGTTTTTCTACTAAGCCAGACTTTATGAACTACGGCGAATATGGCCCTTAGTGCATGATATAATATGTTGAGCTGTGTCGGTCTGGGTTCCACATAGACAGCTCTGATGGGATGAAACAAGTTTTTTGACCAGCTCTAACCCAACTTTACCTCTTGAATGTAAAAAATCAAAAGTTATATACACCTTTCTAGTTCAATTTTTGGCATTAGGAGTGCAGAGAAAAGAATTTGTATGCCTTTCTTGTTTGAATGTTAGTTCTAATAGAGCTGGTGTACCGTTGTGTTTTTTCTGGGTTTTTTAAAACTTCGACTCTAAAAAAAACACCGCACAGAAACAACAATCACACATCCTAGATTAACAATAATAATCGGCGAGTATTTGAGGTTGACTGTGTCTCGTCTGGGGCGTTTCGTTTGAGTGTCACTTGGTTCTAAGGGTTGATTTAGAACTTCGTTATCGTCCCGAATATGATCCTCGTGCTTTTTATTGACTGTCGATCGATTAACTCTGGCGGGTCTTCCTCTTTTGCGGATCCCAATCGCAGGTCTATAAACCTAGCAGTCCCAAGGTGGAAAAAAACTTCGGGAACTATATAATAATT